TTTTTTTTTTTTTTTTTTTTTTTTTTTTTTTTTTTTTTTTTTTTTTTTTTTTCCCTTCTTCTTCTTCTTCTTCGTCTTCGTTTTTTTTCATCACCGACTCGTTATGTTTGATTTGTATACGCCGTTTGTTGTTTGAATATTCTTCTTCTAGTGCATAGACAGTTGTGATTCAGCTTCGTGTTTTTTTTTTTTTTTCCAGTTTTTTGTCCTTCCTCTTTTCGTCATCGCATTTGCTTTTTGTGGTTTTTTATTTTTTGTGTTTTTTTTGTAATTTTCGCGGTTTTCTTTTTCGTCGCAGCTACTTTGTGTTCTTCGTATGGTCTCTTTTTTTTTTGTGTTTTATTTTCCGCTCGTTTTTGTCCATTGAGAGTGCGGTGTTTATCGTATAAGCCTTTTTTTTTTTTGCTTCTTCTTCTTCTTCTTCTTCTACTTCTTCTTCGCGTTCATCTTTGGCTTGTCGTTCGTCGCGTCTCCTTCGCTGTGTTGATTCTTCGTGTCGCCCAACCTGTCATCCTCGTAGGCAACATTGTCTTATATATATATACACCGGGTAGTTCTGTTTGTGACGATATATATATACAGAGTTGCCAAGCCGAACGTACGGAGGCCCCTAAGCTGACCCCCGAATGTTCGGGCGTTCGAGAAACCCGTACGGGGCCCGAACTCGAAGGGGTTCGGACACGCAAAAAAAACAAATTGGTACCTAAAATTTAGTATTTTTTTTTTTTTTATTTTTTGTAAGTTCTTTGTTATGTAAGCTACCTGTCTCTCAATTTTGAAGTCATTCTGTGGAGCCCAACAATAATGAAAAATCGGCAAAGATGGTGGTGTTAAAACTTGCTTTCCCACTTACTAATTTGTTTTTTTTCCCTTTATTTCGGGGCCTGAAAAAAAAATTATTTTTTCAAAGTTTATTTGTAGGTTCTCTATGATGTAGGATACATATGTATAGAATTTCATGGTATTTGACAAAGCCAAAAACAAATAAAAAATCGCCAAAGATGGCGGTGTCAAAAACTTTATCGCCCACGCAATAATTTCATTCTCGTTTTATTTTTTTCTTATTTTCATTAATATTATTTATTTTTTGTATTTGATTTTTATTTCAAATTTCGTAAGAAATTTGGATCTACTGTTGAGGCAAATGTTGTTTAGTTTATTCTTCTGCATAACATAGTTTTTTTTTCAGAACTTTTGGAA